CACGAAATACAAATCTCCCCTTCTTTGGTACATCTGATTGATGCGGAACAAGAGCACCTTTGTATGTGAAACGGTGTGGATTTTCATAATCCGAGATTAAATTGTCGAAAAAAATACATTCAAAAAAGTTTAGAGCAAAATATTTAAGTTTGGCATTGGCAGGCTAATTTCGGGACACCCTGTATAATATTTTTTTGTGGAAATCTTATCCGGGTGGCGGAAATTTGACCGAAAGACAAATGATAGAAAAACATTTGATAGAAGTCTTTTGATCGAAAATCAAAAAATAGAAAGAACTTTCCACCGAAAATACATTTGATCGAATGTTTTATGATATAAACATAAATGATAGAAAATACAATTGATAGAAAATTCAACGGGGCTACGCTCAAGTTAGGTCAGTTCGTTTGTGAAGATATGATCCGTCCTCATATATTTGAGAAGAAGGAGCTAGAAGTTTGTGGTATCAATAAATTCATAAGCTTCGATTTCCATCTAGCTCCTTCTTCTCAAATAAATGAAGAAGGATCATAGCTTCACAAACATACTGACCTAACTTGAGCGTAGCCTCGTTGAATTTTCTATCAAATTCTGTTTCGATCAAGTGTATTTTCTATCAAATATTTTTCCTATCAATTGTATTTTCTATCATTTATATTTCTATCAAATGTATTTGCTATCATAAAACATTCGATCAAATGCATTTCTATCAAAAACACTCTCGATCAAAAGACTTCTATCAAATGTTTTTCTATCATTTGTCTTTTGATCAAATTTCCGCCACCCATCTTATCCTTCGTGAAGTTTTTTACATTTACTATGGATTTCCATCAAAAGTGACTGTTACACCTACTCGTTTCAATAAAATACAAACATTGAGTTGCATCACCCTAAAATCATTTATCTTCAGCAAAATTATCCAAATTTTTATCATAAAGCTAGCTTCGTTATCAAAATAAATGAATATTATTTAACATACGGACATAAATAATCTTGTTTACACAAGTATATAGGTACCTAATCTATAACCTTGTGATAAATACTGATATTAGTACTGTTTATATATGTATGGAAATACTGGAAATAGCACCAATGCCTGCCTAAAATATTAGTCATATAGAATTCACAAAAAAATCAGCATGTTAGAATAGAAATTTCACTACAAAGGTTGAAAGAAGTAGCTGATAATTGATGAGAACAGTTGATTTCTCTCAATAAGACCTTTATGTAACTGATGATAATGGGCTTATATCACAAAAAAAATTTATTTCATAATTCGATAGAACTAACCCAAACTAGCTCACCACCGCAAATCGTTTCTTGCTGTGAGCTCCCTACGTTTTATAAAAAATTATTGAAATCCCCGATTTTTCGAACCTCTGAAAACGAGGCGATGATGTGACGTCAAAACCCTACTACTGAAACAAAAGACTATATTCCAGACAGAGATGAATGATACATGATTTCTGACAGAGTGAATTAGCGCGAGATCACAGTTGAAAGAATTAATATATCAGTTGCCTCAGTCTCCGTCGGGCGTTTGGTATTTTCTTGTAACTATATGGCGAGATGAGGTTTCTACGTCATAAGAGGGTCCGTTTTCAGAAGATACTGTTATTTATGTCCAAAAATAAAACATTCCAGTTAATTTTTTGATCGAATTATGTCGTCAATCATTATTTATGTATAAAAGGATCATTATAAACATGGTTTGAGTTGAAAGTACACCACGCCCATTCCATCAAATATCAAAATGAAGGTAACTTTACACAGTGTATAGGAGGATATGGACCTACCGGATATCAACGAATCTATTAGACAAGTCATAACTTCTAGACCATTGGGTGTATCAAAATGAGATTTGATACAGGTAAATGGTATGTGAAGAGGAGAGTTTTCACATATTTTTCACTTTCTGGTCACTTCCGGTTTCACCGGAAATGGCCCCGGTTCTAAATTTTTAAATGGAACACCCTGTATATTGTATCATTTTTGGATTTCTGAGACAATTTTAGATCAGAATGTGACATGTTCGAAAAGTTTTTATGCCTGCTCAATTTTTTCGGAGTCACTTTTGAAATTATATCTAGGTGGCCATGATCGAAAGTAAACTAATCCAAGGACCTCAGGTGATATCAGAAAATTACAATCGCGAAGTTTTAGTGACAAGTATGATAGATATGAATAAGACAAGTTGGCAAAATTATATTTTCGTGTCTAACTATTATTTTTCAAATGGCGACCATTTTTTGACAAGCACTTTCCGAAAAAAGGATATTTTGACGAATCTAACGATACTAATTTATTTGCGATTGGATCACAAATAAGAACATAAATTAAATAATACTGACGAAAATACTTCATAAAAATCTATTTACTTCTGTCAAGTGTGCCGAGGATAGGCATGATGCATAATATCATACAGTTATTTCGATCAAGTCTTCTTGTTAATTTTGTTAAATTTGTTGATCCAATCGCAAATAAATTAGTATCGTTATAGATTCGTCAAAATATCCTTTTTTCGGAAAGTGCTTGTCAAAAAATGGTCGCCATTTGAAAAATAATAGTTACGACACGAAAATGAAATTTTGCCAACTTGTTTTATTCATATCTATCATACCTACTTGTCACTAAAACTTCGCGATGGTTATTTTCTGATATCACCTGAGGCAGAGATTATACACTTATAATCTCTGCCTGAGGTCGCCTTAGATTAGTTTACTTCAAATCATGGCCACCTAGATGTAATTTCAAAAGTGACTCCGAAAAAATTAAGTAGGCATAAAAACTTTCCAGAATATCACATTCTGATCTAGAATTGTCTCAGAAATTCAAAAATGTTACAGTATACAGGGTGTTCCATTTAAAAATTTAGAACCGGAGCCATTTCCGGTAAAACCGGAAGTGACCGGAAAGTGAAAAATATGTGAAAACTCTCCTCTTCACATACCATTTAGCAATATCAAATCTCATTTTGATACACCTTATGGGCTAGAAGTTACGACTTGTCTAATAGATTCGTTAACACCCGGTGTATATACAGTATGATGCAAATGTATGGAATAAATTCATTATTTCAGAAATGGGCGACATTTGAAAAAATTCCAAAAACACGTGAGTTTTCATTTTTGAAGCTTCATCTCATGATATTCATATGAGAGATGTTACGTCACCGGTGTTGGAGTAATGACGTAATGGACAATTTTTTTAAATACAAACAGGGGTCATGTGACACCTCGCTTGGAAGGTATACTGATCGTCTATTCAACAGTCAAAATTTTGCATAAGAAAATTGTGATTAAAATGGATTATCATTTGATTAACTGAATCTTGCAGAGGTCTGCTACTGAGAATTGAACAACGAAGGGTCGTCTATTTGAAAAAATATATCAATTAATAAAGTTCTGAAGTCTAGTTTTTGGATTTTTTTCGGAAGTCGTCTTTTGTTTTGAAATGAATTTATTCCATACATTTGCATCATACTGTATATTTATATAGCTTTTTCTAAATTCGTTTGTTGATTTCTCCTTCAAACCATAGTTGGACAGATTCATCATCAGGTCCAGAATCCGAATTACTCATAAAGACAATGGCCAAGGACTCACGCTTGCGGGGGGAGCGCAGGATATGGGGAAATCAAACATCATCTGATGAAGACCCCAAAGACAAACATGCTTCGAACACGTGACTGCCACAGGGGCCGCATATGGGCGCAGTGCGCACTGCGCAGACTCCAGATTGCCGCTAATGGCGCCAACTGCCGACATCTCACCATCTTTTTCAATAATATCAAATAATATGTTGCAAATTGCACATAGGTCATGCTTTTAATACATTTTGGAATTTTAATCACTGATGCTGTCGTTATTGCTTGATTGATATGATTTTTTTTCTTGGAAAATATGGTTTAAAAATGTATTCAATAGGACCACAGCCGTCTTTGACGGCTGTGATAGGACTAAAAATAAGTAGCTCAAATAGGTAACCCCAAAGAACCTGTAGAAGGCAAGGTTTTCAGTTATTATGCCAAATAAATTCCACACTCTTAGGTACTGGAAGGAGGTCGGTCTCTAGCTCTAGGGCGTGAATAGCTGCTATAATCCAGGCCTGTTCATCATGATTTTGAATTTGAATATCCAGGGGCCGATTTTTTCGCAGACCAGTTTTACTATCTATATACTCTGAATGTATGAGAAATTAGATTAGAAAAAATGTGAATTATAATTACCCCAGAATACAGCACATTAGGCGATTCTTGTGGAGACGGTAGAGCCTGGGCAGAATAACTACATTTTTGTAGTTTTGAAACAACATTTTGAATTCGAATCACACTTCTCAACATTTTTTTTATCTGACGACACCTTTTCTGCTAGGGATACTGTTGCCGCAACTCAACTGCAGCCAGCTATATAATTCCCTATTGACTTATATTATGCTTATTATAGATAAATTATTAATTATCTTGAATTATTCGAGATAGGAGATAGCACGATCGAGATAACCCAAGAATCTAGAATCACAGTCAGAATCAAGAATCCAGCAGTGTTGCCGAACGCCGTTCTGAAAACTGTCAATATCCCACATTTCTTGTAAAACTTTCCCGCCATTTCCCACCAAATTGAAAAAGATGAAATAATATCTCAAGTTCAGGAACAATATTGTTCGTTTTATAGATTTTCTTATATTCATATCATATTTTTAAAATTTTGAATATATATCAATTTCATCTCGAATTTTGTTGAAAATGAAGATAGATTTTTTTTTGTAGTGACGTACTGAATGTACATAAAATGCACTAGAAAAGTACATTCATACTAAAAACTGCAACTCTGGGCCGGATCGCGGATATCAAAAATATCATAGAACCATCATAGAACATCACCATTCCGGAGATGTCGAAGGATTTGTCAATGTCAAACCCGAAACTCAACGTGTCACTTGTCTACTGTCACGTATAAATCACAGCACAGATAAATTTTGATTTTGGCAGTGAATTTATTATCATTATATTATTATCATGTCTAGCAGATTATGTCTACAATTTTTATTGAAAAAAACATTTAGAAAAAACCAAGTGGTATTCAATTTATGCCAGAATTATTCAAGGAAAATTGGTAATAATGGAGATGGAGCCTATAAACCTGTGAAACCTCGTCGAACAGTAGAGAAAGGTATGAAAGGGACATTAGTAGGGTTGATTTTTTATATAACATATACCTACCTACCTATTTCTGGTATGATTTGAATATACCTACAAGTCCAAATCATATTTGTATAATAAGATAGCTCCTTTCATTTCATAATGGTATTTTTTTTTTGAAAAAGAATCATTGCAGATTCCACCAATTTGGTATGGAGGGATCCTAGCTTCGAGTTGCTAGCTTCAGATGGTTTTCCTCTTTTTTTAAGGGGTAATATTGGAGTTGCTTGGTATGACACTCAAACAACTATCAAAACCCATCAGGAGTTGATTATGGAGCAAATTGAAGATGTAGGTAATATGATAGACAGACTCTAACATTCATTTTATTTGAACTGGCATACTCATTTTCAGATGGGAGATACAAGGGAAGCAAATATGATTTGTCGTGTACAAATTTGTCCTACCTTATTAAGAGAGACTGTCAAAGATTTATTTCCTTATAGAACTTTGGAAGATCATTCAGAACTCTCTGTGATAAGCATCTCTCTGAAGGCAAATATTCAGGATATGAGAAAAAATAAGGAATTGGAAACTGAGAAACTTGCACAAACTGTTAGAAACCTCTTCATTTTCCTTGAATATAGGTACATCAATATTTTTTTTGTTTCAGTTTCTTATAGCTGCAAAAAATGTTTGTGATAAACTGAGGCAGTCAGGTTATTGGGCAGACTTCATCAACCCATTTTCTGGTAGACCATTTTTTACTCCATCTGCTTTGAGGGAATTATATCAGAATGATGAGAAATTCAGATGCCTAGATTTTGAAATATTTGAAATAAAGGATTGTAAAATAATTTCTAATGAAGATAGTTCTCCAAAGAATTTCACTGGTATGTTTGACACTGAATAGAATTTAGAATGATCCAATCTCTTAAACTCATTAATTTTATTTTCAGGTAGTCTGTTCACCAATGCCCCATGCAAGAAAAGTAATTTGAATTCAATTTTCACTTAGTCTTAGAACTAGAATTCTTTCTTGTTCATAAAAAGTGCAACATTATCTGATATGTAAATATTTTGGGAATAAATGATATTTTTGGTTTCATCATTTTGTATCCTCTTGCACCTCTTGTATGTAATGGAGAACTAAAAACCAACAAAAAATTGAATTTTTCCAGACTATTTGAGGTTACTTCCAAATAATCCAAATTGAGCAAACGAACAATCTTACTCCGGATCTGTATGTACTAGATTGATCCTAGATCCGAGTGTAACAACGAACAGACCTGTCAATCTTCGTCACTGTCAACTGTCACTAAAATAATTTTCAATTCACTTGCAAATGGCGTCTGTTCCATAATTTATATTATTTTTTCTAGTTATAATTATAAATAATAATTGATTAATTACTGCTGCTGTATTGTAGAATAGCCCTACAGAATATGGAATCAAAAAGTGGAAATAGCGAAGATGGTAAACTACATGAGCCGTGTGAATCTGGCTGCCTGGCAGCTGGCAGCTGCTAGGATTTCCATCTGCCAGCATTTCCGATCTTACCCGAAGACCAGTGGCGTCACGTTTATTTAATAAAACTTACATCTGGCTGCCTGGCAGCAGGATTTCCATCTGCTAGTATTTCCGAAGTTACCCAAAGACCAGTGTCACGTATTTTAATGAAAATTGTTTTATGATGATTGAAAATTTTGAATAAATGTCTCATTTCCACAAAAAGGCTGATAATAGCATAGTGATCATAGGTATATTATTGGAATCTATATTGTTTTCCACAATTGAAAGCAAATGGCAAATAATAAGAATATGATAATTGAAAATTATTGGAAAAAATCAAACCTTGTACTTCCCAATCGACTGTCAGGATGAAATATGAAAAAAACAGTTCTTTGTGACATATTTGATCATATCTATACGAAATTATTTCTTGCTAATGGGGATGAGTTGACGTTATTCCACCCCTAAAACGGATAATATTTGAAAAAATCAAATCTAGTACTTCGCATTCGACTGTCAGGATGAAATATGAAAAAAACAATTCTTTATGACATATTTGATCATATCTATACGAAATTATTTCTTGCTAATGGGGATGAGTTGACGTAAAACGGATAATTTTTGAAAAAATCAAATCTAGTACTTCGCATTCGACTGTCAGGATGAAATATGAAAAAAACAATTCTTTGTGACATATTTGATCATATCTATACGAAATAATTTCTTGCTAATGGGGATGAGTTGACGTTTCACCCCTATAATGGATAATTTTTGAAAAAATCAAATCTAGTACTTCGCATTCGACTGTCAGGATGTAATATGAAAAAAACAGTTCTTTGTGACATATGTGATCATATCTATACGAAATTATTTCTTGCTAATGGGGATGAGTTGACGTTTCACCCCTATAATGGATAATTTTTGAAAAAATCAAATCTAGTACTTCGCATTCGACTGTCAGGATGAAATATGAAAAAAACAGTTCTTTGTGACATATTTGATCATATCTATACAAAATTATTTCTTGCTAATGGGGATGAGTTGACGTTTCACCCCTATAATGGATAATTTTTGAAAAAATCAAATCTAGTACTTCGCATTCGACTGTCAGGATGAAATATGAAAAAAACAGTTCTTTGTGACATATTTGATCATATCTATACGAAATAATTTCTTGCTAATGGGGATGAGTTGACGTTTCACCCCTAAAACGGATAATTTTTGAAAAAATCAAATCTAGTACTTCGCATTCGACTGTCAGGATGAAATATGAAAAAACCAATTCTTTGTGACATATTTGATCATATCTATACGAAATTATTTCTTGCTAATGGGGATGAGTTGACGTTTCACCCCTATAATGGATAATTTTTGAAAAAATCAAATCTAGTACTTCGCATTCGACTGTCAGGATGAAATATGAAAAAAACAGTTCTTTGTGACATATTTGATCATATCTATACGAAATAATTTCTTGCTAATGGGGATGAGTTGACGTTTCACCCCTAAAACGGATAATTTTTGAAAAAATCAAATCTAGTACTTCGCATTCGACTGTCAGGATGAAATATGAAAAAAACAATTCTTTGTGACATATTTGATCATATCTATACGAAATTATTTCTTGCTAATGGGGATGAGTTGACGTTTCACCCCTATAATGGATAATTTTTGAAAAAATCAAATCTAGTACTTCGCATTCGACTGTCAGGATGAAATATGAAAAAAACAATTCTTTATGACATATTTGATCATATCTATACGAAATAATTTCTTGCTAATGGGGATGAGTTGACGTTTCACCCCTATAATGGATAATTTTTGAAAAAATCAAATCTAGTACTTCGCATTCGACTGTCAGGATGAAATATGAAAAAAACAGTTCTTTGTGACATATTTGATCATATCTATACGAAATAATTTCTTGCTAATGGGGATGAGTTGACGTTTCACCCCTAAAACGGATAATTTTTGAAAAAATCAAATCTAGTACTTCGCATTCGACTGTCAGGATGAAATATGAAAAAAACAATTCTTTGTGACATATTTGATCATATCTATACGAAATTATTTCTTGCTAATGGGGATGAGTTGACGTTTCACCCCTATAATGGATAATTTTTGAAAAAATCAAATCTAGTACTTCGCATTCGACTGTCAGGATGAAATATGAAAAAAACAATTCTTTATGACATATTTGATCATATCTATACGAAATAATTTCTTGCTAATGGGGATGAGTTGACGTTCCACCCCTAAAACGGATAATTTTTGAAAAAATCAAATCTAGTACTTCGCATTCGACTGTCAGGATGAAATATGAAAAAAACAATTCTTTGTGACATATTTGATCATATCTATACAAAATTATTTCTTGCTAATGGGGATGAGTTGACGTTCCACCCCTAAAACGGATAATTTTTGAAAAAATCAAATCTAGTACTTCGCATTCGACTGTCAGGATGAAATATGAAAAAAACAATTCTTTGTGACATATTTGATCATATCTATACAAAATTATTTCTTGCTAATGGGGATGAGTTGACGTTTCACCCCTAAAACGGATAATTTTTGAAAAAATCAAATCTAGTACTTCGCATTCGACTGTCAGGATGAAATATGAAAAAAACAATTCTTTGTGACATATTTGATCATATCTATACGAAATAATTTCTTGCTAATGGGGATGAGTTGACGTTCCACCCCTAAAACGGATAATTTTTGAAAAAATCAAATCTAGTACTTCGCATTCGACTGTCAGGATGAAATATGAAAAAAACAATTCTTTGTGACATATTTGATCATATCTATACAAAATTATTTCTTGCTAATGGGGATGAGTTGACGTTTCACCCCTAAAACGGATAATTTTTGAAAAAATCAAATCTAGTACTTCGCATTCGACTGTCAGGATGAAATATGAAAAAAACAATTCTTTGTGACATATTTGATCATATCTATACGAAATTATTTCTTGCTAATGGGGATGAGTTGACGTTTCACCCCTATAATGGATAATTTTTGAAAAAATCAAATCTAGTACTTCGCATTCGACTGTCAGGATGAAATATGAAAAAAACAGTTCTTTGTGACATATTTGATCATATCTATACGAAATAATTTCTTGCTAATGGGGATGAGTTGACGTTTCACCCCTAAAACGGATAATTTTTGAAAAAATCAAATCTAGTACTTCGCATTCGACTGTCAGGATGAAATATGAAAAAAACAATTCTTTGTGACATATTTGATCATATCTATACGAAATTATTTCTTGCTAATGGGGATCAGTTGACGTTTCACCCCTATAATGGATAATTTTTGAAAAAATCAAATCTAGTACTTCGCATTCGACTGTCAGGATGAAATATGAAAAAAACAATTCTTTATGACATATTTGATCATATCTATACGAAATAATTTCTTGCTAATGGGGATGAGTTGACGTTTCACCCCTATAATGGATAATATTTGAAAAAATCAAATCTAGTACTTCGCATTCGACTGTCAGGATGAAATATGAAAAAAACAGTTCTTTGTGACATATTTGATCATATCTATACGAAATTATTTCTTGCTAATGGGGATGAGTTGACGTTTCACCCCTATAATGGATAATTTTTGAAAAAATCAAATCTAGTACTTCGCATTCGACTGTCAGGATGTAATATGAAAAAAACAGTTCTTTGTGACCTATTTGATCATATCTATACGAAATTATTTCTTGCTAATGGGGATGAGTTGACGTTTCACCCCTAAAACGGATAATTTTTGAAAAATCAAATCTAGTACTTCGCATTCGACTGTCATGATGAAATATGAAAAAAACAGTTCTTTGTGACATATTCGATCGTATCTATTAGATATAATTTCTTATTATTTTATTGTATTTTTTTGCAAATTTCCACACTACCCAGGAGGTATTGCAAGAGCGCGTTACCTTTTTATTGGGAGGTTCGCCAATAGCCCTATTAACCCATACAAAGGCCTCCCACCTCCCCTCACAGCCTTGCCCTAACCACAGCCCTACTTTATTTTCCTACATATACCTACCTACCTAATAAAAGAGATTCAGTATGAAATTCATAATGGCACCTAGAAAGCCTTCTTGGCCTCTTCCTAACCCGACGTGATTTAATAGTGAGTTCAGTATTGTGGATATTGGAATATCTATCTAAGTACATAGATGATAGCATATAATAGTGACCAGTATTGTGGATTCAATTATGTAGGAAATAAAGCATTCACATTTGAACTCACCTGAAATATTTATTAAATTTTGAATTTACTGAATCCTCTAATTACACCTACCTACATAATATGCGATCAGTATTGGCGACATATGTGACAAAAGTTATTAATTATGAAAGATTGATCACCATTTAACATGCATTTCTTATGGATATGTCTGTGACAGTATTCACATTGAACTGTATCGCATTCACCTGAAGAAATTGACCTTGAGCATATAATGCACATGTCCTTTATATTGTCTGAGCTCTTAAGAAGTAAGTGTTTAATTTTATTCCTATATTGCTGTAGATCACATATATCTCTCAAATTTTTATTATTAATGATATTCTCAAAGAAATGTATACAGATTATTCCACAGTTATAACCGTCTTGCTGATGATAGTGGTCATAAACCTTGATTGAAAAATCATTGACATCCTTAAAATGTTCTTCCTCATGGAATTCATAATAACATTTCATGAAATTCTGAAATTTATTCAAATACGTTTGAGTTTTGGCCATAGTACTTCTGAATGGATCTATGAAAGAGAATGTTCTTGTTTCAAAATCAACTATTATCAAGCAATAATGATTTTTCAGCAACACTGGCATCGCGATTTGCTTCTTAACGATTTTAGTTTGTCTTATGAAAGGTTCTTCAAAACTACTCAAAGTAAAAATTAATGTAGAAATTCCTTCTGATATAATCTGGTATGTATCATTACTATTTA